GATCTATTCAAAATATAGTGGAATTTGTTACCTAAATATTTTCTAGTTGTACCAGGGAGAAACAGTATCATGGGAGATAGTTAAAAGGAAAAATTATAAAATTTGATGAAGTGTTTTAACTAAAAATTATTGGTAGTTAAGCAACAAATGAGGTGGCAATATTTTGAAAACATCAAATTTTAGATTGAGGAAATTTGCATGATTTATAGATTTCCTGGCATCCAGGGATACATGATAACCTTTTTGTTTTAAAGTAATTCTAACTCAGACATCATGGGTTTCTTAAAGAAGCCTTTAAAGTCAGATGTATTGTGATTGTATGTGCTATTTTTTCTTTTTTTTTTTTTTAATTGGCAAAAGGAAAAGGTTTCCTTTTTTTTAAACTGCACACACTTTTTGGGGGGTAATAAATGAACATTTTTTTGTTTGTTTTTTTTAGAACTGAGCTCTCCATAGACAAACATAAGTAGCATAACACAGTGTCTTTCCTCAGACATCATTCTGTACAGTAAATCAACATAAACAACTCCGTTCTTATTGACTGGATTTTTTTCCAGGTGGGTTAATTGGGTGGGGAAAATTAATTGACCTTAACATTGGACCCTCCTCTTTTCTTCCTGTTAAACTTATAAAGGATGAGGTCTTTAAAAAAATTTTTAAAAAAGGTAATGAACCAACAACCTTATCTCTCAGAGTATCTTTGTAATGACTAAATGTAGAAAATGCATAATATTTGTACACAGAACTATTAGGAATCATCTGAATGCATTGGGAAGATAAAATGGATAAAATGAAACCAAATGGTAATTATCGAATTTCTTCTCAAGCTCAGTGCAAAATTGAATTCCAAATCTATGGATTAAAAAAGCTGATAACTATTTTCCTACACTGTAGCACAAGTGTCGCAGCTTTACAAAAATAATGGTGTTGAAACTTAGGAAGTGAGCAGTTCTCTTTCCTATGTTTAATTCAGAGAGCTTAATTTTCATTTTCTTTAAATTGAAGCTACTTTGGTTAAATGTGGTAGCAAAAATGCTGAAATTTTCACTTGGAAGAAGTGATCTTTAGCAGGATTATGAGCCTTTATCAAATGCTTTCATTTTGCACAAATTTTTTAATGTGGGATTTGTTTTGGTATTGTAAGATGTATGTGATATCTGTGCATTTTTATAAAGTGCTTCCTTATTTTATGTTCAGCATTTACAGCCGAACAATACCAGCAACATCAACAGCAACTGGCACTAATGCAGAAACAGCAGCTTGCACAAATACAGCAACAGCAAGCAAATAGTAATTCCTCCACCAACACTTCACAGGTGAGGGATTTGTCTGTCTTATGATTATCCCTCATTGTTTCCCACCAGAGTTCATCTCTAATTACCAACTGTTGTCATAGAACCTTGCATCTAACCAGCAAAAAAGTGGCTTTCACCTGAACATACAGGGTTTAGAAAGAACATTACAGGTGAGTATGGAAGCTGTTGCCTCTGCTCCCTATTTTAAAAGAAATATAAGCATAGTTGAATGAAATGAAGATGCTGTCTTCAGTCTAGCCTGTAGTCTGTTAATGTACCTCTGTAATGTATAATCCTATGAAGTTCATTATCCTTAGGCATTTTAATTATTACAGTTTGAAAAGGATTATACTAGAATAGCCTCTTTTATCCTTGAAAGGGATCACTCTTCAACCTGAAGTATGGTAAATATTTGCCATTTGGAGTGTAAAGGCTGAGATTTGAGCCTTCAGGGTTCTTGCAGAAAAAATGTGTTCTAAAAAATTCGAGGGGCTTGTCCATTTTTAGGATAAATTTCGATGTCATATTTTGTTACTTTCTTTTTTTTTTTTTGATACCGGGGATTGAACTTGGGACCTTGTCGCTTGTGCAGCAGGCACTGGACCACTGAGCTAAATCCCCGGTCCTGTTACTTTCTTTCTTAAGAGATAACTATCTTGTTATCCCAAAGGTGCCTTTGGGTTTGGGTGTGTGTGTAGGTTAGGTGAACGTTTACATATTCTTTTATGCATTGTATGAGTTTGCAAATCACTGAAATGTTTTTGCCAGCGTATTTCTTGCCCAACATTTTGTGTTGGACATTTGCAGTCTCCACATTATAAAAGGCTTATTTTGATAAAGTGATGTGTACATAGTGTACATTATCACACATGATGGTCAAAATCCATAACCCTTGATTTAGGTAATTCTCATCCCTCCATGACTGATTATGAAAAGAGATGAAGAGATTTCAGTGGTTCGCCATTTTCATTTGTACCCGAGCTGATTTTCAGTTAACCTGTATAGCTTTAATGTTCACTTGAGAGTAAATTATACTAGTTAGATTTCTGCATTTCTTTTTTAGGGTTTTGTTTCTAAGACTTTGGATTCTGCTAGTGCTCAGTTTGCTGCTTCTGCTTTGATGACATCAGAACAACTGATGGGATTCAAGATGAAGGATGATGTGGTGCTTGGAATTGGGGTGAATGGCGTCCTTCCAGCCTCAGGTAAGGATAAAGACATTTAAATTGCTTTGATTATATTTTTGTATGATGAGATTGTATACTATAAACATGTGTGTTTTTTTATTTGTGAAATACAAACTGCAAAGTTGCACATTGTTTAGACACTTCCTTCTTTTTCTGTCCAGGACTGTACAAGGGCTTACACCTCAGTAGTACTACGCCAACAGCACTTGTACATACAAGTCCATCAGCAGCAGGTTCAGCTTTGTTACAGCCTTCGAATATTACTCAGACTTCAAGTTCCCACAGTGCACTGAGTCATCAAGTGACTGCTGCCAATTCTGCGACAACTCAGGTTCTGTTTGGGAACAACATTCGATTAACTGTACCTTCATCAGTTGCCACTGTAAACTCTATTGCCCCAATGAATGCACGACATATACCTAGGACTTTAAGTGCTGTTCCATCATCTGCCTTAAAGCTGGCTACCACAGCAAACTGTCAAGTCTCTAAGGTCCCATCTTCATCCTCAGTAGATTCAGTTCCAAGGTGAGTAGTTAAGCCTGAAGTGTTTGAAAAATTATGACAACTTAAATCTGTCACTGCTCTGTATTTCTGTGTGTGTGATATATATATATATATTTTTTTTTTTTTTTCTTCCCCTTCACAGTGCTAGGGATCAAACCTATGGCCTTGTTCGTACTAGGCAAACGCTGTACCACTGAACAACAGCCCCAGCCCTTTTTTTTTTTAAATTATTTTGTACCGGGGATCGAACTCAGGTCCTTGCACTTGTGAAGCAGGCAGTGGAACCACTGAGCTAAATCCCTGGCCCCATCCCTTTATTTTTTGGGACAGGGTCTAAGTTGCCCCAGTTGACCTTAAACTTGGACCTGCTTTAACCTCCCAAGTACCTGGGATTACAGGGTTGTGCCACTGAGCCCAGCTTTTTATTATTAAAAATACAGAAATTAATAGATTCCCGATTTAAGATCTAAGTAAATGAATGTTGTAATTCAATATTAGTTGAGAATTTGAACCAAATGGTATAGTGAATATTGCATATATGATTCAAGTATTTCTTAGGATAAAATATATAATCTTTTTCTTTCTACCTTTGGATGAAAGGAGTCCTCTTTAGAGAACATTTTGTTCATAACTTTTTCCCTTTCTTCTTGTGTAAAAATAGTTAAAATTGGTAGAAGCTGCCATTTACTGGTATGCCAAGCTGATCTTACTAATGTAAATAAAGACTTACTACAGTATTCATATCAGGTCAGCTTTTAATGAAACCATTCTTTTTTGTGCTCACTTATGTTTCAGTAGATAGATTTAAGTAGAATTTGTGCTTCAGGCTCTGTTTTAAATGGTAATTAAAGTCCTGCTGTCTAAAAGATACAAGGAGAGAAACAAAGGGAAAGACAAGCGGTTTTAGTTTCGTTAGAAACTAAACTTAAAAGTGAAAAGTTAATGTTAGAATGCTGCAGGTAGTAGATGAAAATAGTACTAGAGGTATCTTAAAGCATTATCCACTTGTCAGATTAAGTATAGAGATGATGGCTGTCATTTCAATGCAAGGAGAAATCTTTTCACACGAGGAAAATTCTGGGGATGGCCTACAAAATAATATTTGACTTGGGGTAGTATTTGGTTGGGCAAAGAGGAGGAAAAAAAAAAAGCATTTCAGGAAAGTGAAATGAGCAAAATAAAAACACAGCGTTGGGGAAGTGAGTTTAGAGGTTAACAGTGAACTGGTTTTCCTAGACATTTGGGCAGGCTAGTAATTGAAAGTGAAACAGCAGGGGAAGGCCAGATTGTGGAGCACCTAGAATGCTAGAACCACATTTAGACTCAAGCAGGACTGGCCCCGGGGAGAGAGCGGAGTTGTATAAAACAGATTGTAGCTCACACCTTTCTGCCTCTGAACTTGAGCCACTGTCTGCCCGGTAGCAATCTGTTCTTAGCAGGTCTAGTCATAGGTAATCAACCTGCTAGAGTTCTGACTTCATATGTATAACATTAAGATTTTTCTTTTGCTGTAGAATGGTGTAACAGTAGAGCATTTTCAGCGTTTGGAATATTGTATATCCCTGTCCCTTTGTTTAAAAGAGAGGAAACATATCAGAGAAAAGTTACTTTTCTAAAGACACATTGCACTTATAAACTGGAGCCTGTGTTCAGCAGCTTTCCTACTCCCCTTCCCGGACCCTGACTTGAAGTCCTGACGTAGACTTCAGTCATATTTGTACCTGGTTGAAACTCTTCGAAAAGCTTTTGTGTAGGAGGAAATTGAATTACCAAAAATTGGGAATTCTTGTTTCTAACATCTAGTTTTCACAGGTGCTGCCAGAGTTTTGTTGGTAATACACAGTGGTTGACCATGAAATTTGTACTTGACTGTGACTTGTTTTCTGATTAGTTTATGAACTAAAAGGGGCCATATTCCTCTACTTACTCTTTCATCCCAAAGAGTAAGATTTCTTCCTGTCATTAAAAAGTCAACTTTTTATTGAGAAGATGTTTTTCATTTGCTGTTTGTATATTACAGCTAATCGGTTGAACTTTATTTCAACAGGGAAAATCACGAATCAGAAAAGCCAGCACTGAACAACATAGCAGACAATACAGTAGCGATGGAGGTGACGTAGCTTCCTGGGGAGCGGGGTGCAGCCTGGGGACTTGGTTAGGTGCTATGCATCAGTAGCGTTTTGAATGCGAGGGATGATGGAATGCAGCACATGCGTTTCTGTGGCAGCTGTGGGGACTTTACAGCAGTGCTCATCTCTCATGCTTCAATTTTTCTTTTCTTACTGTTAATAGGAAAAAATCAACATCTGTAAATTAAGAATACAGCAATTATCTGTACAGTACTGCATATTTGTAATACCCTTGTATATATGTTACTTGAATACAGAAATGTTCATTTGTGATGCTTTGCACTTGGGGGTGGGGGGTGGGAGGGAAATAAATTACAACAAAGAGTGTGAGATGTGAGATTGTATAGAGATGAAGTGTCATCACATCATGTGCATGGTGCGGAACCTGCTGTTTTATCTATTTATTGTGCCGTGTTTACAGTTTTTTGTACACTGTACCTTCATTGGTTCCTGTGCTGTAGTAAATGTGTTAGGTAGCTGTGGACTCCTTGGTATTTTGTAAATGGTATAACATAACTTGGTTCCCCTCTGGGTCCTTGAGTTTTCTGTGTATCATGTGAAAAAAAATGGTGACATACATACAGAACTTTACAAAAAAAGGCATCAGTTTTTTAAAAATGGGGAATGTACTGTTAAATGGGATCTTCCTGGTCTATCATTAGGACAAGTAACAAGCTAAAAATGAAGTCTCTTGAATCTTCCCGTCCCCGCTCGCCCACTGAGCTGTGGGTGTTTTCTGGTACTTAAAGCACTAATATTATGTTGCTGCTCTACAAACAGCCCAGTAGTCCCATTTCCTTCCACACCAAAAAGTGTTAAATCAAGTACGCAGTGGAGTCCTTACAACTGGAGTTTGTTGTCTTGCCCTTTTTTTAGCACAAAAAATTGTACTTTTTATTGTCGAATTGTTTAAAAGACTTCATTCTTTACTTGTTCTTATAAAAAGGATATAAGGGAGAAGAATGCAGTACTTGCTGTACGTGTATCATCATTCCAGTTTTCAAAAACAGCCAGCCAGCTTTTTTCCTTTTAAGATTCTCCAGAAGGCTGCAAGGCCAGAACCACAAATATCGGGTGCCTTCCTTTGGAAATATCTGACCTCTCTTCTGTGAAGAGAATGGTACTTACCAGACTACTACTAGTGCTTTGTCAGTACCGAAGTCTGAATGCCCAGTCCAATGGCATACGTTATCCTTAAAAGTTTTTAATCCCACCTGGAAAAATTGTGATGGAATTCTCACAAAATAAACCCAGGGCATTAATGTTGACAAACTCTAATGTGTAGTGGTCTTTTGCTTTTATTTTCAACCCAAGAATTTTTGTGTGACTTTAACAATCCTTCAGTGATGGGGGGTGATGGAGGATAACTTTTTTCAACACTTACTTGACTTATGTGTGAACTGTTTTGGGTCCTACAACAGGGAGACAAGTCCTTGCCCTTGGAGAGCTTGTAATCTTGCTGGGGAGAGAAATCAACAAAATGTCAAATGTACTCTTAAGTAGTAGAAAGAAAAAGTAAAGCAAGGAAGGGGAAAAGGGTCCAGGGTGAGGTTGGGTTTGCAGCAGGGTGGGCAAGGTGGCATCACAGGTGTTCCTGTTTGATTAGGGGAGAACAGGAGAGCATTGCAGGCAGAGGTGGTGCACAGACCTGAGGGGGTGTCTGCATGCTTGGGCCGGGGGCGCAGCCAGAGGCTGCTGCTCCTTTGCTGTAAGGAATTGGACAGAGGAGCCCATGTGTGCTGAGGAGGCTCACAGTGCCTTGATTCAGACCAGGCTGCAGGGGATCCCAGTAGGAAGCCGATTGGAATAAGGCTGCAAGTGCCATCTTGACAGCAACAGGGACGGTAGTGAGAAGTGGATGGATTCTGTGTATATTTCGAAGGAACCCACTAACATTTGCTTACTGAATACAGAAAATAAGGTACATGGGAAGGGAATCGTTGTGGATGACTCGACAGTTCTTGGCCTGAGCAGCTGACCACAGTTGAAAGCACTGTGGGAAGAGTGGGTCTGGGGGATAGCCCAAGTGTTGTGTGGGGCTGAGATAAGCATTAGACATCCAAATAAGGACAAGCAGCAAAGTCTGTGGTTTGGGAGGAGTGGTCGAGCTGGAATCAAAACTTGAAGATCTTCTTCACAGTTGAAATTTAAAGCCCATGAATCATTGAGATACAGAAGACAGGGTTAAATCTGCATTGCAGCTGTCAGTGATGGGATTTTTTCCCTTTACAAGAATTTCCTGTCTAAAACAGACTTCCAATGTAGATAACTCCTTTTGCTTATTCCCCTTTACATTTCTGGAGAGGGGATAAAGTTGTCTTTCAGTTCTAATAGCTGCTCAGTGTGACTAAAAATTTAAACTGTAAACTACCAATTTAAATGTACTCAGTAATCGGGATTAGGATTTAAATTCCTGAAGTACATCCCACAGGCAGACTGAGGCCTAGGGCCCCTTATAAATGGATTAAAACAGCTTTTGGCCTCTTAAATGTCTTCCCATTTTCCCATAGTCTTTGCTACCAGTGTTGTAATATCCTGAAGTGAAGAGAGTGATTAAATGTGCAATTTAAACACTTAAGACCTAAGGGAAAATGAGAAATAAGTCATCAGAGAACCTTGAGGCCCAGCCCTTGGGAGGGTGAAGCAGAAGGATTGCTACAAGTTCCGCTGCAGTTACAGGTTGTTACGAATTTGATGGCTTAAAACAGAAGTGGATCCTCTCACAGTTCTGAGAACCAGAAGTGCAGACAAATGTCACTGGGTTGAAACTGGGGTGCCAGCAGGGTTGTGCTACCTCTGCAGTGCTAGGGGACAGTCTGCCGCTTGCCGTTCCCTGCCTCGGGTCCTGGCCTGGTATTCCTCATGTTTGGCTGCACTGCATCACATGAATCTCTGTGTCTCAGAACCCTGCCTTTCTCTTGTAAGAACAACTGAATTGCATCGAGGGCCCACCTGGAAATTAGGGAATGGCCCTCTCCTTCCCAGGGTCTACTCAGCCCTGCTACCGGCTGATGCGTACCACACACTGACTCTTCAGTCTCCTACCCAGGCCCGGGGTGTGGTTTGCAGCTTGGGCTCTGACCTGTGTGGTCCCCCGTGTAAGTGGCACCTTCTAGTCACAAAGGAAGAAGTCAGAGGGCTAAACCACTTCTGTGGTACCTGCCTGACAGTAAATGTTTCTTGGTCAGTATGCTGTTTTTCTACTCATTGGCCAGTTGCTGTTCTTTTCAAATATTTTTGAAGAACCCATTTCTTGAAAAAATTCGTACGTAGAACACCAATACATAAAGTAGATTTGCTCTACTAAGAGGTAGAGGAATATTACTTTCCCACCTAAACAAGAAAGAAAAAAAACAGCAAACAAATATAAGATGGTAGGTTTAAATCTAACCACACCATAATATTAGATGTACATGGCTTAAACAATCGATTAAAAGAGATTGTCAGGATAAAAAAAAATCCATTGCTAAGGTATGACTGTCCCCTCCAGGTGTTGTCAAGGTGATGATAACCTTGAGAGGGGACTTCCAGCCGTGGGGTTAAGGCCTCTGTGAAGAACGACTACTGAACATGCTTGCACCCTGGGAAGACAGACTACTGAACATGCCTGTTGTGACTTGCTACATTCCCAAACTATGAGAAATTCCTGTCCTGTAGAAATTGTCAAGTATTTTGTGGTAGTAGCAAAAAAGACATCCAACTGTATATGCTGGCTACAATAAAAGAATGAAAAAAGATAGTCTTATGTTAAAACTTATCCTCCCCCCCAAAAAAAATTAGAGTGGAGATAGATAGATAGATAGATAGATTGATTTTTTTTTTTTTTTTTTGGTACCGGGGATCGAACTTGGGTCCTTGCACTTGCCAAGCAGGTGGCGAAACCACTGAGCTAAATCCCCAGCCCTAGAGTGGATATATTAACAGCAGATAAAATAGACTGAAAAACAAATAACATTAATAATAGAAGGTCATTTCATAATGATAAATGGATCACTTTATCAGGAAGACAATGCCAAAAATTTATGCAACAAATTACACAAATTCAAAATGTATGAAAAATACAACTACACTTTGATCAATATTTGATGGAATAATTAGAAAATGTGAAGACTCAGGACAACTATATCAGCCACCTTGACTTCATTGACATTTCTAAAGCACTGTCCAACAGCTGCACAGGTCTAAATGAATTAGAAAGGATTTAAGTAATATTTCTCTGAACACAATGAAATTATCACATGAATCAAATCAAAACATTTTGACTAAATTAAAATTGAACAAATCAAAAGTTGTGGAATATAGTAATGCTTAGGGAAAAGGAGAAGATGAAAAAGGAGAAAGGAAAAAATTGGCCTAACCTACCTCAAGAAACCGGAATAACAAGTGAAAACTGAATCTCAAGTAGATAGAAGAATGGAAATCAAGGAAAGAATTTTTCAGTAGAACAGAAAAATCAATAAAACCAAAAATTCTCGAGTAAAGCAATAGACTTGGATAAAACCTGCAGCTAGACTAACTAGAATATAAACAAAATGTACCAACATTGGGAATGTTAGAGGAGACATAACTACAGATTCTACTGATAAGGAAATATTAAAAAGTTCATGGAAATAAATTTCATGATTCAAGCAATAAAATTCTTCAAAATGGAAACAGCTTTTGTACATAGGGATGGTAGGGGGCTTGGGAATGGGATAAAATTTTTAAAATTTTAGAAATTTGAAAAAAATCCCTTCAAAGACACAATCCCTCCAGATGAAATACTTTTTTTAATTTAAAAAGCCAAAACTACAAACCAATGTGTCTATGAATATCAATTTAAAAAAACCTAAATGATTTACCAAATCAGTTGCAACAATGTATACCAAGGGTAGTACATCATAAGCAAGAGGACCAACCCCCAAATGACTGGCTGATACCAGAGATTTTACATGGCTTACTGTGACCCAGGTGTGGCATTGGAAAGTAGTCACAATTTTCCTTGCCCTTCTTTAATACAGAAAGAGCTAGATGGATCCAAAACGGTAGACTGCATTAGAAAATGGGGACAGAGATTTAACTCAGTGGCACCGCACCTGCCTCACAAGCGCAAGGTCCTGAGTTCAATCTCCAGAACTGGAAAAGAAGAAAACAAGGAACACAGATCTGTATGAACAACCAAAGGTCTGACAGGATGATGTATATCCCAACCTGTGCCATTTATGTGATCAAATGACAAGTGATCCCAGGCATTGATGGTGTAGGATGTGGCTGTGCCACCTAACAGCCATGTGACTTTGACTGAGTTAACCTTTCTAGACAGTGTCTTCTCCAAAATGAGGGAAATAAAAGAGTACTGAACCTACATTTTTCATTGTTGGAAGAATTAAAAGACTGAATTTTATACTGTTAAAATGATGTAGTCAGAAGGGAACCAAGGAAATAACAGATTAATACATGTTGTGATTTTTGGGGGGGGGGGTGCTAGGGATTGAACCCAGGACTCATGCATGCTAGAATGGGTGTGTATATGCACACACATGTGCATGCATGCACTGGCGATTGAACCTAGGGCCTCATGCATACTAAGTATATGCTCTACCACTGAGTTACATCCCCAATGTCCCCTCCTCTTCCCCCCCCCCCAGTACTAGAAATTAAACCTAGGACATTTCTCACTGAGCTAGGGGACCTTTTATTTTTTCATTTGAGACAGGTTTCCCTAAGTTACAAAGCTACCCAGGGTGGGTTCAAACTTGTGACCCTCCTGCCTCAGCCTCCCAGGGTCCTGGGATTACAGATATGTGCCACCATTATATAGCTTCATTTTAAAAAAATTTTGTTTGCCAACTAAGTGACATAGAAATGCATTCTTCATATCTGATTCTTCCTACAATTTTCTAAAGATAAGTGAATTAGTCCACTGAGGCCCAAAGTACAAAAGGACAGGAGATAATGCAATGTCTTGCTAGTAATATGCCAGAACTCACCGACACTAGTTCATGAGAAACAGTTGTTTAATGTTCACAAACATGAATTGGTTAGTAGACAGCTATGATTAAAAGCTAAATTAACAGGGGTGGGGATTTAGCTCAGTGGTTCTGCCACCTGCCTCACAAATTGCAAGTGCAAGGACCCGAGTTTGATCCCCGGTACAAAAAAAAAAGTACAAATTATACAGGCTTAAAGTAAAATACATTATCTAACAGCAAAGATAATAAAACAAGAAAATAATACTACAAAACAATATCCCTAGTGAATAATGCTACAAAACATCCTCAATAAAGAAGTAACAGAATTTAGGAGCACCTTAAAAAGTTTATACAAGCCTCGCAAGCACAAGGTCCCGAGTTCGATCCCTGGTACAAAAAAAAAAGTTTATACAAGATGGCCAAGTGAGATTTATCACTGGAATGCAAGGATGGTTCAATTTACAAACATCAATATAGTATACCTCAGTAGAATGACAGGGAAAAAACC